CCAAACCTGAATGTCGAGACTCAATGATTGGGAGTTAGGATTAGCTGGGAATATAGACCCTCTCAATAAGGTCCCTTTGCCAGAAGTAGGGTTAAGAAGGGTCCCCTTTAGGGGGTCTCCCTGATACTACCTAGGAATGATGAAGCCTCTGAATCCAGCTTCACACCCTAATCTGCAAAAAGTCCTTAATCCCGAGGACGCCCCGATGCGTTCGAACTAGGGAAAATCTCGCTACATTCCGATAAGAAGCACTATCTATCAGAAGGAAGAAATATTACCTAAACCCTAAACCCTAAACCCTAAATCCTAAACCCTACATCCTAAACCCTGGCAATTATAATCCCCCCTCCTCAAGTATAAAACCCGATCTCCGGAAGTCAATCCCCCCCCTCCTGATTGGGGCCGAAATCTATCTCGGGGGGTTATTAAAGCGAAGTTAACATTAAACCCCAAACCCTAAAACCCTGAACTCCTAAACCCCTAAACCCTAAAACCCTAAACTCCTAAATCCTAAACCCTAAACCCTACATCCTAAGCCCTAAACCCTAAACTCCTAAGCCCTAAGTTCTCTCTCAGGGTGCACACCGCAAGCTTAGGGTTTCGGGTGCGGGGCTTCAGGTTTAGGGCTTTAGGGCCTTTGGGGTTTTAGGGTTTAGAGTTTAGGCTTTAGGGCTTTAGGGTTTTAGGGCTTTCGGGCTTAGGGCTTTAGGGCTTTAGGTCTTTAGGGGTTTAGGGTTTAGGCTTAGGCTTTAGGGCTTTAGGGCTTTAGGGCTTTAGGGTTTTAGGGTTTAGGGTTTCAGGTTTTTAGGGCTTTAGGGTTTTTGGGGTTTAGGGTTTGGGGTTTAGGGTTTTGGGGTTCTAGGGTTTTGGGGTTTTCGGGTTTAGGGTTTTAGGGCTTAGGGCGCAGGGTTGAGGGGCTTCGGAAGATTCCAGCGCCCTCCCCCTCGGAACCGCGCTTTAGGATCCTCTCCCTTTGGCTCGTCGTGGTCCTTGGGGTCCTGCATCACCCTACACCCTAAACCCTCAACCATAAAACCTAAACACCCGAAAACCTAAAAACCCTATAAACGCAAAAAAACCCTAAACCCTAAATCCCAAAAACCCTAAACACTGTACCCCAAAAACCCTAAACCCTAA